GTATTTCGCACCCTTGAACGGTTCGCAACCCGCAGGATAGCCGAGCGCGCCGCGTCGAAATGTTCGACATCACGTCGGCGCGCCGCTCGTCCGCTAGATCGCGTGGTCGCGCGCCGGCGAACATTTCGAATCTGCCCGGCGCCGGCGTGCGGACAGTGACGGACCGGGAACGCGGTCGACGGGTTCGCGCGTGGCCGTTCGTTGTGGCGTCCGTCGCGAGTAACGGACGAACGTGGCGATAAGTTTCACGTTCACGCCGCCTGCGCCGAGTGCGTACTCGACGGGAACGAGACGGCGTAGCGGAGGACGGCCCCGCGCGTTAGCCTAACCGGGGCAACGCCTTGGAGTGCCGACACTGTTCCCGTGCGAGACCGGTTTCGCTACCGGACCGTCCCGAACAACCGGCGTGCGGCCGCGGCAAGTAAGTTCCGGCGTTCAAATTCTCGTTACCCGCCGCCTACACTAACCTAACCTACGCCGATAACTTTCGAAACCGTTTCTTCGCGCCGCCACCCGCACGAATCGCAAAACTCACGATGACTCGTAATTACATAAACTTTGAACTCCTAATCACCGTTCGGACGATCGCTAATCTCTTCTGCTTCTCTTCTGCACGTCTGTACACGCCCTCCGCGCACTGACCCGTTCTCTGTGTTCGCAGGCCGACGAGCTGGACTGATAACTTACTGCTCCCGGTGGCCAAACTCGACATGGAATTTAATCGGGTCCTGTCAAACCAAGGACTGGACCTAAGGTTTGACGATTTAACGTACAGAGTAAACGCTTGGACGGACGCGTTCAAAATAGGTAAACATGTTAAGATTACGCTATGAACGGGTCTCTCAGTTGAAACACATTTTGCAGAGAAGAAAATTATTCTCCAAGGCGTGAGCGGCACGTTTAACCGGAGTCAATTATGTGCTATTATCGGATGTTCTGGCTCTGGAAAATCATCTCTGTTAAATGCATTATCTGGTTACAAGTAGGTTAAACACTTTATGAATGAACTGTTTCACTTGAGTAGTACTTGAATTCCTACACATTTTGTAATTATATGTGATTCTTTATTAGGTAAATTGTAACCGTCTAATTTTGATAAATTTAGTATAAATTATTTTGTTTTAAAAATAATTTCACACCTTAAATAATATTATGTAGGTAATATTATAACATATTTCTTATAATATTTTATTAGTTAATAATAATATGAAAGTCCAATAAAAAAAATAACAAAATTGATTGCACCTATTTACCTAGTAGTTGAAAATGTAAGGCTTATTTGCTTTAGATAAATAACTGTGTCGTGTCTTTTGTTTTTTGCTGAGCAAACTAGACTTTAGATGATGATAGGTATAAAATTATAGATAGTGCTGGTAGAAGAACAGGACCCTGTCATTTTAGGAGCTACACACCTAATTTCATGAGATTTAAACATTTGTAAACCTATAATTTGGTTTTTAAAATTAAATAACAATTATTTATTGCCGGGCTTTGATGATAAAATTTAATATCCATATTAAAGAAAACAATTTTTACATAAGTTATGTAAAATAGAAAAATATGTCATACAAAAAATGTGAAGTCCCAACAAAACCTCCCAGCAATAATATTGCTGATCATAGAAAATTATTTGATGTATAAGGCTGTTGAGATATTATAATTACAATATTTTTTTATACAATATTATAAAAATATTATTTATTTATAAGGACTAACGGATGTACAGGAACAATACTGATAAATAATAAACCTCAAGATTTGAAATTTTTTAAGAAACAATCATGTTACATAATGCAAGAAGACCAACTCCATTTGCAATTAACAGTCATAGAATCTATGATTTTTGCATCAAAATTAAAATGTTTCACTTTCTCTTTGGACGCAAGCCAACTTAAAATAGTAAAGTTTGAACTTTTTAAAGCTTTCATAATAGTATTACTAGTATTAGGTAATGTTATTTACAATTTATTTTTAGATAGATTATATTTTGGAAAGTCTAAACTTATTTAAAGTTCAAAATACAATAACAAAGCATTTATCTGGTGGTGAACGTAAAAAATTATCAATCGCATTAGAACTCATTCATAATCCAAGCATAATGTTTTTTGATGAACCTACTAGGTGATTAGTTAGTAATTATTTTATTTTTTTAGCTTTATTAAGAGAAATAACTATTTTCCTGTTTTTGTATATATATTTTTTAAATTATGTAATCATTTATAATTTAATTTAGTGGATTGGATAGTTCTTCAGCAAATCAAGTATTGAATACATTAAAAGATCTTGCCAATTCGGGTCGTACCATTATTTGTACTATACACCAGGCTACTTCTTCTCAGTTAAAGATATTTGATGACCTTTATGTACTTACGCCATCTGGTCATTGTATATATCATGGTATGACATCAAATCTATTGGACTATCTAGCCGTTCAAGGTTTACGATGCCCTTTGTACCACAACACTGCAGACTACAGTAATATAATTATTATATAATAAAACATAATATGATTTAAATATTTTTAACAAAATTATGATTTTTACAGTTATTGAAATAAGTCTTGGAGAATACGGAGATCATGTTGAAAAATTAGTGAAATATATTAATAATGGGAAGTCAATAGAATGGTTGAAAAATACTAAAATGGAAGTGCTAGTCAAAGGTTGGTAAAAATAAAATATTTTTAAATGTAATTGGTAATTTTAATTTGATATGTTAGTATTGTATAAGCTACTACAGTAAATAGAAAATAAACTGACTTAAAATATATAGTTCTTTAATGTTTTATGATTTAGTATAGTACTTCACCAGTAAATCTTTCCAAAATATAAGAAAAATTTACTTTACAGAAAATCAATCCAAAATAGAAAATACTAGTGATGAATTTAAAGACAAGACATTTACAAGACATAATTATCAAAAACTAATTCAATTTATTATCTTATTGCATAGGTGTACAGTTAAAACATTAAGAGAAAAAGTACAAATTATTAAAATTATTAATTTTTTTCACATGGTAAATATTTTTTGATATTTAATTTATTGTTTTTTCAGTTTGTCGTTACAAGATTGTTGGTACATATTATTGTTAGCGCTGTATACGGATGGATATACTTTGATGTTGGCATTAATGCATCATATATTCATGATAACCTTATGTTATTGTTTTTCAGTTTACTGTTTATAATGTATACCGCTAGCTCTTCAATGATAATCAACTGTAAGTTTGTTATTATTATTATTATTATTATTAGTATTTTTTACCAAACTCATAAATGTGTATTTTTTGTAAAATGTTTTCGTTTGTTGATTTTTCTATATTTATGTTGTAGTTCCCTTGGAAATTCCAATACTTTCCAAAGAATATTTTAATCAATGGTATTCATTAGCATCATATTATCTAAGTTATACAATTGTAGATTTTCCAATTCAGGTATTTAATTATATTCATAAAATAATTCTTAACACAACTAAACCATTAAATTTATTAATTATTAGAACATTCAAGTATCTCATTAAACATTGTGTTCTATGACTAATATACTTTCTTTGTCATGTATTGGTATACACAACAAGGTACATCATATGTTTGAACACTATTTACGTTCTCTCTGAATATAAAAATAGTTGACATAATTATTGGTTAATGTCAATTATATCACAAATTTAGTATGTTTTATTATTATTTTTTCATACATTATATTGTAGGTTGCATGTACGTTTTTGTATTGTGTTATACTGTACTATTTCACTGGACAACCACTTGAATGGTCACGATTTGGTATGTACATGCTGATGATGTTAATGGTTGGATTATTGTCCCAGACTATTGGCATGTTAATGGGTACACTGTTCAGTGATTTAAGAGTAAATACTATAAAATAATTAATATAATTTTAGCTGTTTTGTGGTATTTGAAGTTTTGTGACTTATTTAATCTTAACAGTTCAGCACTATTTTAACAAGCTTTTTGCTCATGCCGTGGATGATGTTCGGAGGTATTTTCATTAGAATATCTGATACGCCAGAGATTTTTCGATGGCTGTTTGACATTTCCTTCATGAAACATGCCATGGAAGGTATAGTGCATTGTATTTATGGCTGGGATCGTCCCAAATTGAATTGTTCTAAAGTATGTTATTTTGTATGATTTTCTTTTATTAAGTCTAAAATTCTAAATGAAAACTGTTTTAGATATACTGTTACAACTCACTACCGTCACATATATTAAAAGACTTGGACATGTCAGTCAACAAATATTGGTTCAATTTTTTAGCAGTCAGTGCTATTTATTTACTACTGAAAGTGGTCACTTATCTAGTTTTGAAAGAGAAATTAAAAATCCACTGACAACTCTATACATATTATGTTACTTTTTTCTTTTTAATATTTCATCATATAACTTTCATTACTGTATGTCTGAATAGTTTGTATGTTAAAATGCAAACAAATTGTTTTAGTTTTAAGGGGACAATTTTTATTGCTAATAATTAGTACTATGTTACCTCTTTTTTAAATTCTGCCAAAGATAAAACATAATAAATGTACTTGTTAATTTTAACAGAAATATTTTCAACTGTAGAATAGTTTATGTTTTTATTATATATTAATTTTATTGTTATCAATAATTTTATTTTTGTTTTGTTATATACTACTTAAATAGTTAGTAAATTATAACCAACTACTTGTAGTATAGCAATTTGTCTAGTCTTTTACTAGTTTCTGAAGTATAATATTAAACCAGTATACATTTATTTTTATATGTTATTAGTTTCATAATTAGTTCAATGATTTAGTTTTATTTGTTGTCTTTTAAGAAGTTATCAAATGAAATAATGTTTTAAGCCTTGAATTTAAATTATTAAGTATGTGACATGTTTTCAAAAAACTGTTTTTATATAAATGCCAAATTTTTATCTGTGATTTTAATTGCTTTGTGCCAATGAAAATATTATATTTATCACACATAATATATTTTAATTTAATAAATAATGATTTTTTTTGAAGACTGTGTTAGTATTTTTTTATTAATTAATTTGAGCCTATTGTGTACAACATTTTTGATTTTAGAAGAAACAAGAAATATATTGTTTTTAAGTTATTATCTTCAAAATCAAACTTTTTAATTGCAAACCACTATATGTCTGAAAACAAATTATCTTATAGTATCTGATAAAATCAAAAATAATATTCTACATCTCAATTTTTAGTTTAATCAATTAAAAAAAGAAAAAATTGTCCTTGTTAATAATTTGATAAAATTAAGTATTTTGTTTTTTTTTTTTTTTTTTGGTTTACAAACAATGTAATGCTAGATTATGTTAAAAAATGCTACACCTTTATTTCTAAAATCAAAAAAATAAATGATAAGTATTGTTCTGAATTTAGGATGAGGTTTTAGAAAATGTGCATAAAAAATATAGCTTAAATGTAAAGAACAAAGGCATTTGATTTCAGTAGGATTCAAAATGTAAATAAACAAAGACACTGTTGGTAAGCTGGTTTCTTATAAATATTCTTAACGACTGACAACATATTTTGAAATGTAAGTTATTTTTAACTTCTGCAAAATGTCATCGAGTAAGTGGTACTTAAATCAAAAAACGAATTAAATATTCAATGATACATATACTTCAGTATGAAAAAACTACAACAGGTTATAAAACATAGTTCAACTAACAATGTGAGTAAAAAAAAACAAAACAATAAAAATGTACGTATAAAAACTGAACGTGATAAATATTTTAAATGAAAAAAATAAATACCAATGCACCCAATAATATTTTAATAACATTTTTATAATATAATTTAATAAATAAAAGTTTCAAGTATGATTGTATCAGGTAATAAAAAAGTCTGATGTTTATATTAAGTTTAATATTCAATAGGAAAAATTAAATTGTTGGTTGATGCCTGTTTGGCAAGTGAAGCGTTCTTTCTAGCCGATTTGCTCTTGCGTCGTTTATGATCTTTCTTAGAATCTGACACAACCGTCACTTTTGACGATAATGTTGTAGGACCATTACTATTGTCATCAGACATTTCACCTGTACTACTCTCTGATACACTGGTCTCTTCACTTTCTGAAACCATGTTTAATGGTCCATAAGATCTGTCTTCAGCTTCAGACGCTTCGCTTTCACTAGGAGTATTATGCTCTCTTATATTACGCTTACGCTGTTGACGTTGCCTATGTTTTTTTGCTTGTGCTGCTATGCTGATATTAAAACTAAAATTATAAATAAGAATTAATTAACATCTAAATAAAATAATTAATTTTATTTGTACTGCATACTTGATCTTCTTTTCGATAACGTGATCGTTAAAGCGAACTGTCTTTTTATGATTTAAATCATAACTTGATCCCAGTATATTAGAACTATCAGTGTCCACATTGTCTAATGATGAACTGTATGTCTGAGGCGGGGATAATAAAACATCATCCATGACACTGCATTCAGACAAAGCTCTTTTTTTCAAGATTCCACGCTGCAGAAAAAAATAGAAACAAATTTAATAAAATACAATTTAAAGTAATAATAATATTTACTAATCAGATTAACACTTACAATTGTAGGTCTTTCATTATTAAATTCTACTGGCAATGAGCCGGGTATGAAATCCATTTTTTTTACAGATTCTGGTAAACTGTCGGCTATTGGTATGGCGTTGGATTTCTGAATCTTCTTCCCTTTTTTCTTTTTTCCTTTCGTTGTTACTTTATTATTTTTATCTTTTAACAGACTACCATCATTTTTTTTATTATTTTGTTGTCTTAGACATTTAGTGTTAACGTCTTCTTTATTATCATCAAATACATCATCATCATCATCATCATCATCACTATCATTAAGAGCAATAGAAATACCATTAGCCAGAGCATTGGAATTTTCTTTACATTTTTCCATATGGATGTACTGAACTGTCAAGTTATCTTGATCAAGACCATACCAATATTCTTTACCTTCGGGTTTAAAATTTGTTGCAAACTCAAGGATTATATTTTTATCAGAAGGTAATACTTTAACATCAGACTTAAATAAGCTCGATTTGGATGGAATTTGTAAGCAAAAAGCAAACCATATGGGAAAAAATCCTGAACCAATGGAATGGAATTTGCCTGAGATCAATTGTTTGTCATTAATAACTATCACATTAATTGACGTTGGATCAACATTTTTCACATTGAGCGTAAGTACATATTTATTTTCAAAAGTAAATTCATGCTCTGGCAGCATATAGTGTACATCATTCGGAATGATATAATTATTGTTACTATTGCACTCAGTAATGCTTTTATGATTAATTTCATTGCCGTTATGATGACCATTAGTACTGATACTTTCTTGATTGTTTACATTGTTTTGGTCATTGCATGCAACCGAATCTAAGTGACCATTAACAATATTGATATCACTTACATTTTCACGACATTCCTCTTTTGACATTTCTACCTCGCTCACAAGGTTATTTGGATATTCAAACAGTGGTTCTTTCCTAACAACCGGAAGACTAACTATCATTGTTTTAGTACTTTTATCAAACTTAGCATTACCTTTTTCTTCCGATACAGTGTACGGCAAATTTATATCCAATTTATACTTTGATGGCTTATTACAGACTAGCTTCAAAGACTTTGGAAGCACATCTAACTCTATGTTGACCGAAGAGTCCAAGAGTGGCAGTTGAATTTCAATAATCAACTCTTTGGGTATGACAGCGTTCATTTTACAATGCATATTATAGCCGTGTTCTTGAATATCAATGTCCGAACGATATTTAATAGTGAATTTGGGAACGGTGAACAATGATTTCTGTTTCAACGCGCCCAGGTCATGGTGTTGAATGGGTCGTTCTTCAGGCGGCTTGTAAGGGCAACCGGGTAGTTCAGTGGTGCCCTGGGAATTATCGGCCGGCTGCTGGAAGCCGTCGATTTTGGTGCGTATCACCATCGACCTGGTAACGCCTTTGAAAAACATCTTCGGATACTTGACGTTAGCCCTGTCCAACACTACGTTGTTGTTCTTCTCGATCATGCTGAGAGCGGTATCCTCGACCATGTCCTTAAGGCGCTGGCCGCGACCGACCATATCCAGCACGTCCGGATGGAAGACCACGTCGTACACATCGCATGGTTTACGCGAGCGGTCGTAGTCCTGGCGTACCGGGGACAGACAGTGCGGCAGCGACCAGTGATGGCCACCGCCGGTCCGGCTGACGACCGGCCGGTCCAGCACGTCGCATGAGCACACGTTGACGAACACCTTGCGCGAACCGTCCGCACTGGTCTTCAGCACGTAACCGGGCTGCGGCCGGACGAATGTGACCCGCGTGCCGCGTTCCCTCTCGTACTGCTCGATCTCGCGTTCCTGCTGCGCCCTGTTTACCGGGTCGTTGATCTCGTCAACGTACTCGCACAGTAGCTTCCGGAACTGTTGGTCCTTCAGCGCCTCGCCGATGCTGTCCAACTCCTGTGCGGTGATGTCCAGATCGTCGAGATCGCACTGTCCGCCGCTCATTGCTCGGATGTCGCGAGATCGAAAGGGGCGATAGACAACGAATACCGTAAGCCGGCCGACGAAATATCGAAATCTTAACGCCGCGGGAGCCGATCGGCTATTGCCGTTCGTCAGCGGTTGTTATTTTCGTCGTTAGTCTGCTGGTTTTATTTTTCCCTCCGTCTGTTTGTTTTGACGTCGTTTTTATCGTCTTCTTGAAGTCGCGCTACCAGCCGTAACGGTGGTGCGGTAGTGCTAACGATGCGCGATACAACTGCGTGACCGACACGGAAATGCTATTGTTCAAACTCTGCGCAGATACCATAGACACGTTATCGTCGGCGGTGGACTACGGCCTCGCAGCCGGCAACGGTATCACCACCGCGCTCGCACAGCTGTTTCTTCCGATAACGACTCCCCCCGTCCGTCCGTCCGTGCCATGCGTGTGGATTGTAAACATCTCGTCACCGTGTTTTTCCATCGTTAAACATACGTATTATTATGTATTTTGTGTGCGTTTAGCATTGGCGGAACTCGGGAAGGACGTTTTAGAAGAATAGTAATTTTTCCGGTACACTATCTACTGTAGTTCGATATTTTCAACTTTCTTACTGAGACAATGTGCTAGATGAGTACACGATTGCGTGCTGGTTATTAGGAAAAAATTGTTGGGAAGGGTATACACACGGATTTAATACAAAAAAAAAAAAAAAAAGAAGAAATTCGCTTGATTGTTTATGATTTATCTGAGATTACGTTTGATTTGTGCTCAAAACCAGTGGCGACACGACTATCGATAACTGTTAATTGTTATAGCGTCGACTATATAGTTAGTTATTATTTCATTCGATTATCAGTCGTTGCTAATTATCAGTCATTCGATCGTTACTGATATTAATAGCCGTTTGTTCTGTTGGAATAACTTTTGTAATACATTCAATACTACGATCGACCACGGTACTATTTATAAACTACCACCTGAACGCACGCCCGTTTACAGTTGTGCGCACCAAAGTAAAACATGTCGTTCTCGTTTTATTGGACGAACACGTGATAGGAGCGTGAACATTTCAACAACTTCAATCTCTTTAATCACGGTCGATTCACTCCCCGATAAACATTACGTAACACACACGTAAACAATAGAAAAATATAAGATAACCTTATGGATGTACTACGGTCGTATCTCTTAAATTTATGGGAAACGCATTTATGCGGTACCCACATTGGGAAATGCATCTATTGAACGATTAAAACATTAACAATCATATTTAAATCACAAAATTACACTTGTTAAAAGTAGGTACATTGCGGTATTAGCGTCAAAAATAATGGGCAATTTTTTTTTTACGGGGAAGAGGAGCTACTAATCTGTCTAATGCAGCAGTTCCCAAACTGTGCACCGCGATGCCCTAGGAACACCACGACCACTTTCTGAGGGCATCTATAACCTTATAATATTTTTATACAATAATTATAATCATAATAACAATATTTTTTGTTTATTTATTTATTTATTAAGTTTAAAAATGTATTAATTTATAATTAAGATAAATTTTAATAAAATTAATAAAATTCGTTATCATAAGTATTTTTTATTGTTCTGTTTTTAATGTTATTCACAGCAGGATACCGTGGCTAAATTGGGTCCAAAAAAAGGCACCGCGGAAAAAAAAATTCGGAAACCACTGATACTTTATTACTTAATTACTGTTCGTCTTTCTCGTTATAGTAATTAACGCGTAGTTACGGATCAATAATATGAATAATAAAATATAATAAATATGAATAGAAAACAATTATAATACTGTAAGAACGTATGCAAGTAACAAGTGCAAAAATACGAACTCCCAGTAGTTTTCAATTACGTCACGAATTATTTTTGAACTATAGCAAATACGCGTGATACACGTAACACACAGTAGATACCCAATTCTCCCCCTAGTGCCTGGGAAAATATTTCTCCCTTCCCTTTCCTGGACTATGCTACTACTAAATCGATGAATACGGGAGAAATTTCGCTAAGATAATACATACGGAAGTACACGTTTAATTTATCAACGATTTTCATTATTGACAAGCGGTTTACCGCGTTACACTTCGACAAAACAGTATATTTAACGGACCCTTCACCATCAATAATGTTCTGTCAATATTTTGTGCAATATTCATTTTCCTTAAACCTCTTAATATGCAGAGGAAAAATATTCGTATATTAGCTTTGTCGTTTAAACTACGATTTAGATGTGTTTAATAACGTCAGTGTAATAGCATTTTCCATCAGTTCTCATTGTTCTAAAAATAAATCTTAATGATGCTGAATTAATTTTTATTGCGGTAGCATTTGGACTCAACCAAAGGAAGCCCAAAAAATTATTAAAGACATTGGATGAAAGAGTGGCATAAACGAAGACCACAATCTAGTGATGGAAAATTGTTGAACTTTCTTCGAATGACTGAACCAAATGTCTGTTGGAATTCTTCGAACATCTTTTAAAAATTTATTGAAATTTTATGAATTCACCTATGTTTATAAATATAATTTTATGATTTAGCACAATGTCATATCCTAATGTGCCATAATATTGTGTATTGTGCAATACAATTTTCAACCCTGTACGATTTTTTCAATACATTGTACAATCCTCAAATATCTATTCTACGCTGTCAATAATATTGCGCAATATCAATTATTATGCAATATTATTGATTGTGAAGGTATTCGCTTAATACAATACAATATTATGCTTCCAGTATAGGCACGTTTGATAGTATATGTAACAGATAATATTATTTTCGATTATATTCGTTTCACGTGCGGGCCAACATGGATATAATTTTATTTTATTTTATTTATTTATTATTTTCGTTGTCATTTCCCATTATTGTTGATCGTAGTGTGCGACATAAAATTATTGAATAACCGAAAGGTATCACTACTCAGACTGCTGGATTAATATACCTATAACATTATACACATTCGTACTACCAAGATTGTAAACGCGGCGTGACGAGTGAATTTGGAAGAGAAAACGTGATTCTAGAAACGTAACTTACACAATACAATATGACAAGGTCATATTATTTACGATTTTGTTTTACGACGAACGATCATCCGAATAAATTATTATTATTTTTTAAATTGTTGCTCTTAACGTAGAAACTAAATATTATTTACTGAGATGTATTTTTTTCTATAAACTAGTCTACCGCATTACCTGTCGCTAAAACTAATAACTTATTCCTGTAACTATTACTTTTTGGAATATTTCAACAAAATATTGAACAGTTTTCATATTTCTCGTTGTATCTACCATTATAACAAACTGCATACGCAATATATATACATATCTATATTATTTATTCATTATTATTTCTATTAAATAAAAATATTTATGAAGTTTTATATAACTATATTCACTATACTGTATAATATACAGCATACGTATTATTTTATGACTGATAATTGAAGAATAATTGAGGTAATTTTAACGTTATTACTATTTAAAACTATTTATTTTTTAATATTTAATTTTTGGTTAATCTTTAGTGCCGACAATGGAGCCATATATTGTGTTAGACAACTAGTAAAGAAGTTTAGGAAAAAGAAGAAAAAAATATAAAGTACATAGAGTATGATTTTGTAAGAAGATACCAAGGAGTTGAGGATATGAGAAGACCAATGACAATAAGCGGTGATGTGATAGGCGAAGTAGAGATTAATTAGGATCATTTGTACAAAAGGACGAAAGCTTTGACACAGATGTAAAACATAAGATTAAGTGCAGTCGGATGAAGTGATGCGGTGGATAGAAGCGTCGGGCATTTTATGTGATCAGAGAATTCCAATGAGGCTGAAAGGTAAATTTTAAAGAATAATTTTCCTCCTTATTTAAGGTAAGATTATGCGTGCTCTTTAATTTAAATCGCCAAAAGTCCGGGTGGACGCTTAATGACATTGGTTACTAAAATACAATATCGAATATACAATATTTATTATATTACAATATTACATGAAATTTATTTTCTTGATTAATTTGAATACGAGAAAAAAATATCGAAGAAATAATATGTAGGTATAACGATAAGCAAAATGGTAGATAATGTACACCATGGGTTAATTTAAAGCGAGCCTCACACGATTAGTATTACTGTCAGTAAAAATATTGACAGTATTTCGATATCCGATTTTTTCATCAGTCATCAGTAGGGCTAGGATAGTATAGGATTATGCATTTTTTTTTAGGAATTACAGGACATAGCTTTTCAAGCACAAAATGTGATTTGGTCATATACGAGTCCAAATATATAGTTTTTATTTTGCTTTTTTTTGCATTTTTTGCACTTTTATGGATTTAGGGTCATTTTTTCAATTTTACGGGCATTTTTATACTTTTTTGAAATCTTGGTAATATTTTTATACATTTTCATTTACACTAAATGTTTTCGATAAAAGTTTTGAATTCGTAACAGAAATAATTATATAAATATTTCAATTATAGAGACAGTGTGTTAGTACTCGTTATCGATAATAAAACCACTTATATATTACAACAATAAACTTTGATACCACGAGTTATCTTAATCGTAAAATTAGATGACAGTGGTGTGGAGTGTACCTACGTATGGTTTTGTTAAATATCTATTTAGTTAGTGTCTTTACTTTCGGGATTGCGTATATATTTTTTATTTTATAGTACTTTTTGTTGTTTATTTCAGAAAATTTCAAGCTGGTCATTGCATGATAAGTCCAAACTTCAAACTTGAGTTTTTTTTATGCAATTTTTTTATAATATTATAATTTAAATAATTTTCTACCGAAATATTAATTAATAAATAATAATTAATAATTATAAATTATAATTTATAATGCATTTTTATAATATTTTAAAATCATTGTTTATCTTTTGGTCATTTTTTAAGGTCATTTTTAGGTTATTTTAAGGTCATTTTTTTAGGTCATTTTTAGGTTATTTTAATGTCATTTTTTTAGGTTTTTTGGGTCATTAAAATCCTAGCCCTAGTCATCAGTATTGTTTTTTTCATACTGACAATACATCAATACTTACCTCACACGATCAATAATACTGTCAGTATCTGAAATACTGTCAGTATTACCATTGATTATGGATATTACTATCTACTATACTATACTACTACTATACTATACTATATTACTACTATACTATACTATACTATACTATCTATAATCAATGGTATTACTGATCGTGTGAAGCCTGCTTAATTTACGCTGTGTCTAATTATAAATTATCCCCAAGTAGTTATTACCCATAACTCTAAAATCAAAGTGATAGTGATATTGATCGACTATTATTTAGAATAAATATAAACATAATATAATAACTATAAATAGTATAAATATTAAACTGTGATAGAGGATAGACACATTTTTATAGATAGTACACACCTTATGTGCAATGTACGTATTTGTTACTGTCTACGTTGACCAACAACTAGCAAGGTTAGTTATTGTTTCTTTTTAGTTTTGTTCAGTTTTTTTAAACATTACCTACTATCATTGATTAAATATTTAATCAATGCTACTATGTATTTCAATTTAATTTTACTGAGTGGGCATAAATATAGAATTATTTTTCTTTGGGGGAAATTTGTTTTTACATCCTATAAAAATAAAGTTTTTATGAACATATATGTGTAACAGAAGAGGTTTAGACCTCATGGGTTTCCTAAAAAAGGTTGGTAAGATTTAGAATTATGTAGGAGAACGCTCCTCAATTTTTGATGAATATAGTCCCCCCGCAACATTTTTCCCACTTTAACCACTGAATGAGACCAACTATGCTATATGGTCCGAAGTGTTGAGCGGTTGACAAGAGAATAGAACAGAGTATGAGTGTTACGGAAATGAAAATGCTTAGATGGATGAGTGGAATGCCAAGGGAAAATAGAATAAGGAACGAATATGTAAGAGATAGTATTGTAGCATCGATATTGGACAATCTTAAGATGAGAAAAAATAGAGTGAGATGGTTTGAGCATGTAATAATGCGAGAGGAAACAAAAGCAGTAACAGTGTTTATGAAAATGAACGTAGAAGGGGAAAAAGGAAAACCAAGAAAGAGATGGTTAGATACGATTGAGAATGATATGAGGGCTGTTGATGTGTGCGTAGGGGATGTAGAAAATCGTGACGGGCGGAGGTTAAGAACAAGGGTGCCTCACCCCAAATAGTTGGGAGAAAAGTGAAGAATAAGAAAAATAAATTAATCTTTAATACAGTTCTATTACTAAATAGATAAATAATTTATTTTATTAAGTAGAAATTTTGTTTTTTGATACAATTGATTATTTCAGTATAATAAATTTAATGAAGGTACTATAGTATTGTTCTAGACATTATCGGTTTTATCCAAAAAATGTGTAAACTCAATTACCTATGCATTCCTGAAAAGAAATTAATTTAAATGTCTACGTATCTTATCGTAAACTTAAACTTAAATAAGCATTTTTTAACAAAGTCGAGTTAAGCACATTTTTATTTTATTAAGTTTTGGTTAACTGAAAATTAAAATCAATTTCAGTCTTAAAATCATTTTCAGTTTTAATTTATCTGTTGTTTTTTTTACATAACACAACAAGTTAAAACCATTTGTTAACTCTCTCAACTATGAATATTATAATAGTTCAAATTTAATATTAAAGGCAAATTAAAATATTATAATTTTTATAGAAAAAATATCGTATTGTGAATGTTTATACTATTTATAATTTATTAATTTATATTAATTAAATTTTCTCATATCACTCTTATTCAATACAATTTATATTTACTGCATCAAATATAAATTGAATTTATGCAGATTACATAAATGATACGTCTATACCTTACACAGAAATTTATAGCTATTTTATTGGATTTTTGATTTTATTTGTAGTTACATAAATATATTTTATGACTACAATTAAAATATAATATATTTTTTCATTAAGAAAAACCATTACAATATTGTATTATAATCGTATAATAATAGTATGTAGATAATATTTTTGCTATTTTCGTTTGTTCGGATTCAGAAATCCAAATAAATCTGTTATGATATAATTGAACGTGAGTGTCTGCAATTTAAATACAAAATATTGTAGTTAATACTAATACCAATACGCATAATAATTTAAATACTTAATCCTATAAATAAAATTAATAAATTAATACTTTATAACGAATAATACTAATTATACAGGTTGTTACCATACAAGTAGTATTTAGCATTAATTACGGGTTTTACATTATATTTGCACTGAAAAATACTTTAATTGTTATGAATTACTGTATGAAAAATTACACGTAGGTAAACTTTTTGCAAACTACTGTCATACACGTAATATGAATATTCTGTTTTAAACAACTGCTGTACAACATGTGTTATATATTCATATATATAATACCTATAGTAAATTTATGAGCAGTTAAAACTAAACGTTTAACATTATTACTCGATTAATTTAGGATCAGATAGTAGAACTATATTATTTTAATAATTATACATTTTATAGATTACACTTGTTATGAACTATAATATAAACAATTTTACTTACGGGTGGTAAAGCGGCATGAATTAAGTTAATATTTTCACCAGATCCTGCAGACGATAAATCTTTTGTTTTTAACAGTGTACGAACAACAATTTCCAACTCATGAAAACTCATTTTTTCACCTAGTTAAGGATAAATATATAATTTAAGATGACACGAGATCTATCAATAGATATTAAAAATAATATCTAACCCATGTTTTTCATTATGTGTACAAATGTTTCTCTCGTCAGTACACCTTTTTCTCCATCGGGATTTACAAAATGATCGTAGAGAACCATTCTATCATACGCCTTTCGGATGTCACCAATTTTCAATTCCAGCCGTGGTTTGTAATTCAAATACAAAATAACAAATTCTTCAAATGTTAGTAAAGTTGTAGGATGGCCTATTTTAACTATATCTCTCTCGTGCATTTCGTATATCATGTTAGATATCTGCAATCATACGTTTAATCAATATTTGAAAAAAAAAAATTATTTTTCAATTATCCATTATTTTGTTTACTTCCATATCAGAAGGGAAATATCCCATAGCCCTCATAGGATAAGATACATTACAGACATCTAAAAAATCGCTGAAAACTATGGTGTCCGGATTTACACTATTAGCTATTTGAAAACAATAAAAATATTCTTTTAACAATTTTAGTTCATTTCCATTTTCGCCGCCTTCGAGAAAGTAGCTGTGAGCATTAAAATCTGTTCTTAAATCGTCTTCCAATCTCGACATGTAGCTTAGAAAAAAAATGAAACATACAAATTCATACATAGTTTGTAATAATATTTCTAATCAGGGTTTCAAATTCATTTTTGGCAAATAAAGCAACGAAAAATCATAGTAAAGCAAAGGTTATAAAAATACCATCGAAAATAGAATCACATAAAAAAAGCGCTGTAGGTGAAAAAAATAATATTTTAGTTTTTCAAATGAGATTTTTTTATCAAAAATATGTTATTGAACATTAATTCGAATAATTATGACACGCATACATAAATAATACATAAAATTAATACTTTTAAAATGTTTCGATGAGTATAAATGATAATAAATTAACGCATGACGCATGTAAGTTATATTGAAGCCCACAAGCTTATTTTACCCCCATTTCATGGACGTCAATACAAATATCTTTTGGTCTTTGATCTTAAGTCAGGTCAAATTCAAAAATTAGTCTTTTTCCATTAACGTACTAATTTTGTTAAATAAATTCTAACTAATCCGGACATTTATAATTGGAAAAAGCTTTTAATTCGTATTACCATGTAATAAAATATTTAACTGTACAATTTGAAATCTGAGTACACATGTAAATTATTTAATTTATTTTTTCACTAATCACTAATCAGCAAAAATAATCATGAGTCACAGACATTTTGAACAACAATATTAATATAGGAAATTATTGAATGTGTAAATTGATAACAGTCGAATATAACTATGGTAAATAATTTAAAGAGTTCTATTTTTTTTTTCAATTAATAATAATTATTAACTTGTATATTGTAATTATCCGTGTTACACGCATAGTATTTTATTGTGCAAAACTACAGCCATGCAACAGATGTCGTATACTTACTATACTATACCCAATAATTTTTATTAAATCAAGATTTTGGTAGTACAGTGGTTGCCGCTTATTGTGATCATATTCGTTCAAGAGAACTTTGATTACTATAGCCGGAAATCACTAACAGCGGCGACTCGAAAATATATATTTCGAAGTACCCACCCACTCCCACCAGTAAAATCTGAATTTAGGCATAGTATAATTTTTATTTTAAAGTGCTTTTGGTTTTTTCTTACTAACAAAGATACTAAAATTATAATTTTTCAAAATAAACCTAATATTAATTATTTTTCAATTTTTTAGGTATTAATTTATAAGTTTATATAGCATCATTTTTAGAATTGAGCCCTACTATTTATTCTCATGTGACGCTTTAGTTCTAGAATAAACATAATTAGTATGTCGATTTGTATAGCTAAAAAATTGGTTAGTATTAAATTCAACAAATATTCATAAAAGTTCACATAGGACCAGTGGCGCCGATCCCTATATTCAAGTATGGCGACTGCCATAGTGAATTATATGGTGGGTGGTTACTGGGTGCTGGGTAGGTGACACATAGCGTGGTACCCACAGCCCAATGTGTAAAATGTATTATGAAAGTATTAAAAATATTTAATATTTAACATTATTACATAAAATCACATCAGTTGTGGTACGCTGATTACGTCGATACAAGCCAGAAGATCGCAACATTAACACAAATAATACGATAACGATAGTGCGATGCGATGGAAATAAATATTATTTAATATATAAAGTGAACACCCATATCGGCTATATCATAAATTATTGATAAGTCACAATATGAAAATAGATTTATAAATATATAAATTTATGTATATATAAATACATATATTAATATCAATTTTGAATACAATATTATGGTAGGGTTTCAGCCCCCCACTGTTTACACGAATCGATAGGTGTGTAGGTACAATTAAAATTTGATATTCGCCATACTGCATTTTTTGTAGTTCGGCGCCACTGCACAGAACTAGTTATCCATCAATTTTCTGAGGGGTGTCAGTCGACACCCCTTACCATCCCTGTGTGCACTACTGACTACATACTATACAAACAGTAACGACGGACGAAAACAAACTGGGTATAAAGTGTAAAAATATCGGTGCTTGTGAGAACAAAAACGGTTTAAAGCATGTAAGAATGCACGGTATGAAGTATCGCTCATTACGTGGGTTACATTAGATAAGATTAACTGGATTATTCACGATTAAGATAATTGTCATTCGTAATCGTCCCTATACACAAAAAGAGGTGATATTATTCTAAATTATATTTATATTTTATATTTTTGATGATTATTTCTGATCACAATAACCGAAAACCTAAACACTGTAAGCGACGAAAAATGCACTTTTAACAGCTGTTTGTTCCGTTCCTGGCATTCTGGATCACTATAAGCGGCTGATTCTTATAACCAGTGAACACTATAAACGGCGACCAATGTATTACAAATATATGTAATCACAATACTAATCCACTAGATGGATCCTCATTACTCATTTCAATACTTCAGAGATCATGTTAAAACATATAAAATACATGCGATGTGATGGTCTGCCGAATTGGCCATTACGAGTGTTGAGAAGTAAAACGTCCCACCATTACCACACTTAATTTTATACAGGAACCTTTAAGGACTAAAATATTTATAAGATATCGTAAGCATTTTTATCTCCTATAAGGCTATATAACTGTTTTATATTACATGTATTCGTTTTTGCTATTCCGATGATAAATATTATGTAAACAAAACTAGATTTCTGAAATACGTTTAGAATGTTTACGTTTTGTTAAAAGACCACATCAACATCGATGGACTGTTCTCGCTGATACTAAAAACGTATTTGTTATCATGCGAAATGCCGAAATCGATCAACTAAAAAACAATTATAATTGATAATTTTAAGTAGAAGGCGAATGTGATGGAATTAACTGACTTTAGTTCCGGAGCTGAGTACTGCAGCGTTTCTGAATGGGTTTCCATCAATAGGTTGTTGTAAAATACCTATATCTGTGTCATTACAGAATAAAATCATATTTTGCCTTTCATTGTTTTCCATTTGATAAGGGATCTGAAAAAGAAAAACGAACAAAGGTATATAATTTTCCGTTTCCTTACTTTTAAAGATTTTTTATAACATATAATAATACATCTTCCATGCGGTTTCATCAAAATATTATAAAATAATTTGATTAAAATAAACGAAGTGTAAACCTTTGTAAAAAGTAATTCAGATTTTTATATACATAGTAATCTATGTCACTTTCCTCCTCTCCGACTCGACATTAGTATTTAAGTGTCATATCCATGTACAAGATTATGCAAATAATACAACTTTATCCAAATCCAAATAGAAGCTTGACGGCCATGTTGAAGCCCATGCTTATGAATGTATATTTATTATTTTTTACTTTTTCCTATTAATATTCTATTAGTATAATATATAAAATATCTCTAAAATATCAATGAATTTTTTGTGGGTCAGTTATTTATTAGTGTTTGATGGACGTTCCCTATTCGACGCTAGGTACTAACACTTATCTCATTTGTGATATTTACTTTCATATTTGTAATTGGACTTTCGAGATCGACTCCTCGAGTGGTCCGAACACATCGACTGTTATTCCATATGGTTAAATGTAGCTAATAAATGAAAACAGTATCAGCAATTTATGACTATAAAATATTACAACGTAGCAACAACTCAATAAACGGATAAACGAAGAAAGAATTTACATCACTTCCACTAATGATAAGATTTGAAACTCCAGACTTGTTTTTGATCGTTTTTGTCATACACAGAGGTTCGTGCCACGGTTCGGTTCTCATTGTTTTTACTAGTCTGAATTTACCATCGTCTTGCCTTAACAGCCCAAACGTGAGATCCCAATCAGAAGATGTATAGATACAACAGAGAATATTTAGATACTTATTACTGTTCAAATTTTTTTTAAATGTTTCAGTATTCATATATACATATATTCAATGGCGTATTTATAAATTTAATGGTAGGAGCGACACATATTTGCCGGTTTCATACCCCCCCCCCCCCCCAAAAAAAACTCACTATTATTAAGACTTCTTTTAACAATCTCTATATAATATAAATTATATTACATTATGTATACATTATATTAATATATAATTTATATATTCTATTATAATATATAAAACTTAAATTAACACAAAGAAAAAACTAATAAACTAAAAAATGTAATTTTCTTGATTTAGAAGTATCTAAATCATTGATAATTTTTTTAAAGTCTAATGAAGTGATTAAGCTTAAATTGATAATTCTACTAAGGCTAAACAGCGGTCTTGTACCATTGTAGACCGTAAATAGTTTATTATTCTTTTTAGTATTGAAAAAAAACGTTCTTCACGAATTTATACGAAAAACTAATTTTTGTTTGTTTTTACAAATATCACAGATCGTTCGGGCTTAGTGCGTGATTGATATTGGTTAGAAATTATGATTTCAATGACTAGGTTAAATATTTAATATTTTTATTTTTTTGTGGTCCCGAATAGTTTAATTTTAAATTTTAGGATCACATTCATAAAAGGTTGGAAACCACTAATTTATAGTCTAGGATGTAACTTACGAAACAAATATTGGTCATCTCTTTAAAATTTTAAACATTTGCCGCTCAACTGAATTTTTAAACATTTATCTCTCTGGGCAACAAGACCCATGGTCCCTACCTAAATACACCCCTTCACGTGTGTATAGGATTACGTTTTGTCGAATTCGATTATGACGATCCTGTGATCCGCACCAATGCTGTAAATCGTTAACTCAGTTTTGTTTTCTGTTATGGAGATATCTCGTATGGTTCCCTTGTGAACTTCATAACACCCGTGATATTTGACATCCAATTTGTCCCAGGATAGTATACCATACAAGTATACGCCAAGTGTATTATCCTGTACGCATTAAAATAAAATAGTGAAAAAATTATACTTCGTTGTGACAAGAGAAATTCCCTTGGAGGGAATTTATTCAATATAGGTCTCTTAATACTATTTTTTCAACTATACATTCGACTCTGCATTACTAACGTTAATAAGACATAATATTATGATATATATATATATATATATATATATATATATATATATATATATATTATATTATATTATATATATATATTCCTATGTTGAATATGATAACTTGTAATCTAATTATTTAATAAATGTATCGGCTTGGTCTTTGGAGATGAGAAGGGGAGACAAAATAATAAATAATAAAGAAGATTGGCACTGAATTAAATACTCGTCTCTGAAAGTTATTATTAAATTCACCATAAGCTACTCGACAGAAAATTTTCATTAATAGCTACTGTGATATTTTATAATTCTATGTATTATATGTCACATACATTTATTTTAAATATATTTTATGTTGGAATGTACTATAGTTCATACAGTGAATTATTTGCATCGACGATACTTACAGTGTAAACAACATATCTCGAAGAGCTACTAAATCTTATAAGTCGAACTGGAGAATTGTTCCACCTAAATGATTTATCGTACACTGGTGTCAAGTGACGAGGATCTACAAACCAAAATGACCCGTTGATGCATCCATAACAGAGTACCAACCCTATCATATTAAACAAAAATAAATACTTATTAAATAAATATTAATAAATAATATTATAAATAAATATTAATAAACATTAATAAATATTTATTATAATTTTACGCAGGTTTATATTAGTTTCATTAATATACGTGCCATTATAAGAATATTTAATACAAGTAACTTGATTTTTATTATTTTTAATTCCCTTGCTGCTGGTGTCGCTCGTTACAGTTTTAACTAATTTTCTTGTCATATAATCAAACAGACCAAGCCCGCCGATTGAATTACCTAGTACTACGAATGACCTATTATAAAAAATGTTTCATATATTTATGCTTGTAAAAATCAATGAAGGGTCGTAGAAACGCGTGACTATGTGTTGTGACATTAAAAATGCATATTATTCGATGTTTTACTGTTTTGGATGCACTTCCAATGCAGTGACAGAAGCTTCAATGAACTGTTCAACAAGTTGAACACAAAATTCTCTAAAAATGTCGATTTGGAAAATTTTACAATTTCTTGTGCCTATAGCAAATTGAATGTACATAGACTTTTAGTTAGCACAATGATGTCTTTTATTGACAATTGAAATATTACTTATTAGAAATGGATCACATTTAAAGTCTTGGCGGGTAGTAAAATCTATACCAAATCTGGGTTTGTTATCACAATCTTGTGTTGTATGTTCAGAGTAGATATTGATGTGCGGCATGATTTTGATCATGTATTCCAATTTATTAAACACATTTCTATCAAATACTATCATTTAATTAAATAAAACATAGAAATTAAAACAAATAATTAATTTATCAAATCGAAATTTGTATAATATTTAAGATGCAATTTATTTAAATACCACTGTCTTTATCAATAAAATTGGCATTAATCATTGATATGGAAGTGATGGAATTACCGACCAACTTGTCTAAATGGAATAGAACAAGCAAAGATTGATCGTAAATAAATACATCACCATTCGTATTTCCCGTTATTATAAATCTAAAAATTAAAAATTAGTGTCAAATCAATTAATTTCATAGTAAAAGAAATATACCTTTGACAAATTATAGTAGTAATGGGATAATCATCCAATTGAATATTTTTTAAAAATTGTTTGTTGTTTGTTATTTTTGTGTTTTTTAATCTCCTTGTATTATAAATGGTATCGTCCCACACAGTGATTGAACCTAATATTACAATAAATTCAAACAAAATCTGTAAGTATAAGTCAAAAAGGTTTCACAATACCTCCAGTAGATGCTGATACGACTTGACGGAAGTTTGTTAGATATGTTGACTGTGTGTAATTATACTTCTTTTGTTCTGGATTTTTTTTGGGAACATTAATCATTAATGTCTTCGAATTTTCTACCTTTATTGATAAATTTATATTTTTTAAACGTCCTTTTTAAATACCATGTAACGTACCAGTGTCATGAAAAATACATGTTTCTTGGTTGTAAAACAATAGAAATTTGGATTATTGTCACAGCACGATAAATGAATGATTGGTTTAAAACTTTTGTTGAGTTTTCTTGAATCTTAAACAATTTATTTAGCTATGTTGTGTATAGTCGTATATTATTAAAATATTTTATATACATACAAGTAGGTTCTTCTAAGCCCAACATCCACTCCCATAGACTGATTGTCTGTTCTCCATCGGTATCAATCGAAACTGTAATCAAATATTTTGAATCAATGCTGAATTTTACGACGATGGCAATACCCATTTTAAACGGCGAGAGTAAAGTTAAAATTGGGTTCCTATAAAATGTAAGAATATCCGTATCAAGCTATATATTAGTATAAGTATAGCATACGTATACTCGTAAAATTAAGATATTAATTATTGTGGAATTTCAAAATTATTAACTATAATGATAAGTTCCTCTTTAAAAAGCAGTAGATCATAAAAATTAAAAAAGCGTTTTAATTATTATTAACATTTTGAATACTATAGGTAACTCGGGTGCGACTCGTTTGCGCACATTTACCTTTTTTACGACACGATTGAGCACAAAATCACAACTCGTTTGCGCACACATATTTTAGGTTTAAATAATAAAGGTACAACTCATTTGAGCATATTTCCTTTCTTTTGCTTAATTTTAATTAATTAATAGACTGTATAAAATAATAATATATATGCATATTGTATATAAAAAAAATAATATATAAATTAAGATTTAACTATTTTGCATTTCTCAGTATTTATTATATAATTTAACATCGAGCGACCAGATATTGGCGAGAATAAGATATATATACAACAATATAATACAGATAAAAGTAATAATAACGTCAATGATTATACGCGTAAACAATATTGTCAATTATTAATTTAATATTACAAAAATTAAAATATTTTAAAAAACATGCATTGTAGGTTTAATAAGTAATAATAGTAGTCTATTAGTTATAAAATTATACTAATTTAGAATGGTGGCATTTAAGTCCGATTTTCTTTATATAAGTTAAACGATTAATAATATTATTTTTATATTCATTCCAAATGTTTTCCAATTGTATCTCCTTATTAATTATCTCTTTTCTTTTGAAATTTATGATTTTATTGTTTATTGAATTAATTTTTAAATCAGTGTCACTTTGAATTTCAATAATGACGTCGATTACTTGATGTATGTGCGGATGAGCAGAGTAAAACTGACTGTTATATTGTTTGTGATAACTCTCTGCACCATTAGTAGTCTTAGGATTATTAGTAGGTTTACAAGCCCATAATGTTGGAGGAAAATTGCTGTCCGATGCAATGTAATTTTCTAAAATATAATCGGAAAATATAGAAATATTACTAGACGTAGTACTTGGGGCTATTGACATAAGATCACAAAATCCATCAGAAACTTCGTCAGGAGGTAAATAACTTAATCCAAAAAAACATTTCATCCATTTGCCAACTTCTGAGTCGTTGTTTAAGTACTCGCTCGATAATAATTTATGTTGTTGAATATGTCTAAACCAATTTTGCCCTAAATGAAAGTTACAACACGTGATTTTGCAGTAAGGGAAAATTTGCAATACTGCATTATGCGCAGATTTTTCAAAGTCGACATGAAAATTGCTTAAATTTATTATATTACCAGTAATTTGAATACATATATTTTGTAATGTTTTCCGCATATTGATGTAAGTATCAGTATGTTTGTTACTTAAAAAACAAAACGCCACAGGAACATAAAAATTGTTTTTAAATACGTGAATAGTATAAAGTTGAACAAAATATTTCGGAGCGAATGAAAATGTCCCATCCCCAAAAACGTGTTCTGCACTTTGTAGCAATTCCAAATTTTGTTTACATGTAAATATAAATATATTTTCATCATCACTAACGAAAGAAAATTTATTATCTTTGTAAGTAAGATTATGCTGATCATCAATTAATTGTTTTTTTAGCATCTTCTAAAGATCTCGGTATGTTTGGAAAGGATTTTTTTCGTTTTTCATACATGGATCTTCGAATTAATTTCATATCGCTATATTGAAGATGTTCAGAGTTATCATTGTTTTTCAATTCCCGGCGTATTAGTTTATTTGGTTTAATATGTAAATCCTCTTCAGCTCTACGTTTCAATTTGCTTCTTACTACTTCTCGATGAATTGTTCGGTCGTCGTACTCGTCATGGGTATGCGTGTTGGTCATTTTTAAAATTTTATATGATTCATTGACTAACCTAACTACAGCACTTACGGAACATTTTTTATTTGTACACCTAAAATGTTTATCGCCAGATTTTAAAGTTCGGAATTCTCTAAATTTATAACTTTCTATGTTTAAACATTTTTTTCCTCGACGCGTTTCAAAAACATCACAAATTTCGATATCCATAGTCAATACAGTTAGTAGTTATAGTACAGCTTTCTGGCGAACGACTGTTTAAAAGTATTACGCTTTCCTAATACACGACGATTATTTTAAATCATTATATATTGATATTGATATGCTGGTAATTTGTGCTGATAATTTGTACCGATAATTCAATTACTTTAGGTAAGTCCAAATTTAAAAATATAAAATACATGTTACTTAGTGATTATGTTGTGCGCAAACGAGTCGTCCGTTTACAGGTAAACGACTGATTTCGTTGTGCGCAAACGAGTCATCGATATCCAGGTAAAAAATTTAAATTGTGCGCAAACGAGTTGCACCGAGGTAACTCATATCCTCACTCTACTTCATGTAAACAAATAACTCTTTGATTCGGAGGCGAAACTACATATGATTGAAAGTAAGATTTTCCGCGGCCTCATCGTTAAAAGGGCATTGCAGTAAAATTCCGTACTGTTAAAAAAAAGTAAAAAAAGTAGTTCCGCCACTGCTTTGATTAAATACAAAAATATTACCACGTTTTCAATTATTATTACAATAATATAATTTCTAATACCAACTATTTTTAATTAATATTTTATTGTCTTAAATAATTTATTTCATTTAAAAACAATTATCAGTGATTTATTTTGGGTGTACACTTAATACCACATAATAATTCAATCACTAACCTCATAGGGTCATAAGACTTTCTAAATTGTTTTACAACAAGTTTTCAGTAAGAACTAATATATAAATTTAAGGTTTTTAATCTACCAAAATAAACATAGACGAGGACCGGGGGATACAAGGAAAATATAATATTCTCAACGTGTTTGACTTTTAAAATAAGGAATACCATACTAAACTATTGGATAGTGATAAATGAAAAAACTATGAACTTATAGTAGACTGAAGAAAAATATAGTATAATTACTTATTTTAACTAATATAGAGTTATTGAATTTATGGATGATAAATAATGATCAAAGATGAGGTTGATATTAAATTCAAATAGGAGCAATTTTCTAATGCCAACACACATATAGTAAATAATAATAATTATAGTTTCAAATAATAAATTTTCTATTTTAAAATAAATTAATTTCACCACTCACTTTTCAAAAGAATTCCAAATTATTAGCATTGAGTTATCACCATTGTCGACTGTGACCAACCAACGACCGTCCGAGTTGACATCGAAACTACTGATACAATTACGCTGAAAAGTAATACAACAAAAACTAAAAACTAAATTCAAATATTTTAACTAAAAAAACTTACGTGACCAGTTAACATGTTCATATTCATCATTTTATTTGTCATATAACAGTACTCAAATACAATACCAACTTGGGCACTAACAAAAAACGCCCGCAATAATTGATCATTCGTTTCTGTATTTGAAATACTAATCAATCCAATATCACAACTCCAACCAAAAGACCATTCAATTTCCTATAATTAGATATTTAATTATTTAATATACTCATTAATTAGTTAATTAATTACTCTAGTAACAAAATATACATATTTTTAGTTATAACGTACATAGTTCAATCAGAATAAATAAAATTAAGATTTGTCAAAATTCAATATTCAAATGCTCATCAATTTTTTTTTTTTTAACTAAGCCCAAATATTTTTTTCTAATCAGTAATATATATATAAATTATTTTAACATTTTTTTCGAATAAAGCTAAAAACATGACATTTTAAATTATATATAAATAATTCAAAAAAACATTTTGAAATGTCTACTATATAACTTATATTGATATATTGAATACTGAATGCTTATACAATATAAATATCAGTGAAAATTTCAAGTTCTTTTAATAATTATTTTTTGAGTTATGATAGAATAAAAAAGTGATCTTATCGAAAACTAATTTACCGTAAATGTTGCCATTTTTTTTAAACTTTTTGTCAATTTTTTGCAATCATTAAAAAAACTGTTGGGTACTTTGTAAAATAATCTCCAATATAGTACTAACTAAACAACCATCTCTGTGAGTAATTTCCCACGACTGTGATGATCAGAACCATAAAAAGGAAAGGACAAAAGGTGCCTACGTCCCGGGCGCAAAAATGAAAAATTTGCATTTTATGTTAAAAATTATGTATTTTGTATTAATTGAAGCAATTGTTGAAAATAATATATAATAATTATAATATTCTCAAATTAAAAATACACAAGAGAGCATTTTGAAATTTTTTCCCAGATGCAATATTTAGTTAGTACTAAACTGGTGATGATCGGAGCAATTATTTTGGTCGAAATCTTGTATACGAGTAAAAAAAAAACATCATTGTAAAACCAATGCATTCCTCGTTTTACTCAGTATAAAGAATACTTTATTTGATTTCAATTAATTTATATGTATATTAATTTTATTATAATAATATTTTATGTAATAAATAATAATAAATACTGTAATTTTTATACCTAGTAAATAATATTATCTTCTTTTTCTTATCCTTCACCTTTCTCCCAACTATTTAAGGTCGGCCACCCTTGTCCTTAACCTCCGCTCGTCTTGATTTTCTACATCCTCTACGCACACAACAACAGCCCTCATATTATTCTCAATCATATCAAACCTTTTTTGGTCTTGTTTTTTCCCTTCAACGTTAGTTTTTATAACCACTCTTACTGCTTTTGTTTTCTCTCGTCTCATCACATATCCAAACCATCTCAGTCTATTTTCTCTCCTCTTGTCCTCTATCGACACTCCACCAATACTTCCTCTCATATATTCGTTCCTTATTCTATCTTCTCTTGTCATCTTACTCATCTATCATAGTAAATAATATTATAATGTATATTTATTTACTGAGCTTTATTTATTTATGATTTAACTCTAACGGACTTCAATATAAATTACTTTCCTACCCCTGACCCAGCATATTATATCTACAAATCACATTCGTAAATCATAAAATCTTATTATTAAACAATAATAGTAAATATCATTAACTTACGAACGGTTTTTTATTTTCTAAAAAAGCTTTATCAGCAGTCTTATCAAAATTCTTAAGAATCTCAACTCGCATTTGATTTAACTTTTTTCGTTTGTCATTCATTTTATTCATAGAAAAATAAAAATAAAATTCTGTTTTGATAACTTATAATAAAATAATTTAGTAAAAAAAATCGTTTGTTTTATATGATGTAAGTGATATGATTATAGGTTTATACGTTTCTAAGAAACATTGAAACATTGAAACACTAATATTATTTATTCTTATAAATAAATAAAAGTATACTAATATTTTATATTGTACCCAGTGCTTGACTTGGAGAGGGACGTGAGGGACTGAGTACCCCTAAATTAATTTAGTTAATTAATTTGATAACTAAATTATCAGATATTCTAGCGTACCACACTATTTTTGATAAAAAGAGCGCATGGGAGAATACCTCATTTGAGTTATTAAAAAATTACAAAAAGCTATTTGAAATAAATTCGTTAATTTTGAGATCAAAAATCGAGAAAAATATTTTAGTTCACCAAGTGAATTCAAGTCCGGGCACTACTAATCGGAAAGTGATAAATTTTTTCCTGCCCAAAAAAAAAAATGCCGTTAAATTGCATACATCCGATAATGCATGGTTTCCTTCGTGCCTGAGAGCAAAAGACGCGAACATCAGTCAACAGTCGATCGACGAAGAGTTTTAGATAGAAGTAAATAATAGAGTAGTAATTCATTCGATAGCAAAAAGGCGTCGATCGATGTACAAGATCCACTTCCGTTTATGCTAAACATTTTATTTTCTGTTGTACAATTCTATACGAAAATAACCATAATTCGTTCTTTTTTTTCGCTCATTAAGGATGTACGAAAGAAATTCATGTCTGTTCTCAATAAATTGTCACCGACTAACATGGTCCAGTTGACCGAATCTATTACGTGTTTGCCGATTGAGAACGAAAAGTGCAAGAACAAAGTTATTGAACTATTGTTTTAAAAAGTATGTCGTAAAGCACATGTCCATCTGTGCATAAGTGATCTGTGTTTGAATATTTTGCAACTCTTTTGAACATTTACCTATCTGCAGAGACGATCATTGTATATATTTTTAACCGTGTTACAAAACTTTTCAGACCATAAACGAACCGAATTTCAATCCGCAATACGCGTACATATGTACGGCAATGGACACGAAAGAAGCACAGCAGAACGGCACAAAGTCAAAAAATTCATTCAAAAAATTATTGACGAAGTGCTGCCAAAACCGATTGAACGAAATGTGTGTTCACGAAGAAACTCTGGCAAAGGACCTACGAGCAATTGATGAATGCCAAGATCAAGTAAACATCTCGTTCAAACCTCTGATATAGCATCAATTGACTATGACATCACCATCTCTCATACCAGTTGTACAATAAGAATACAATTTTACAGGGTATTAAGGATCAGCTTAAGTCCAAGTATGACCAGGAAAAAACGGTCTACAAGAAAAGATCCGTAGGGAATTGCAGGCACGAACATAATGGACAAAAATTAATTGATTGATGTTAATCAAAATAAATAATCTCGGCTGTAAACGATGTATTTTTGGGTTTTCGGATACATGTGCGAACTCTATAAGGTGGGCATATTAACGAACCGCACTCTGGAGACGTGTTTAAAATACCTACTAAAGTCACCAAGTGAAGAAACCCTCGAATGTGCGTGTAGTATACTGAAACACACAGGAAACACAATAAGACACGTAAGACAATATCGATTTCTTATTATGAAATGAATGATACTTTACTAACACAAATGTTCGACCGTTGAAACATGATCAATTTATATAAAAAATTCATTTTAATGTTTATTAGTTGAATTACGATTACAGAAAGCCACTTTAATAAGCTTAACGAGTACATGTCTGCGAAGTACAAGAATAAGATTTCGACAAGAATACGATTCATAATACAGGACACGATAGAACTACGATTGGGATAAATAATTTTGTTGTAAAATACGTGTTTATTAGAAAAACATACCATGGTATATTTCGTAGAAACCGAATGAGCAGACAAAAATTAAACTGCCGAAGGAAATTCGAAAGGTAATTGAATGGTGTTAGAGTGTTAAATATTTATTTACATTCATATGTTGTTTTTCTTCAGGTCATTGTGATTCAAAATTATGAATTAGAAAATGCCGCAGAATCAAGCGGTCTAAAAGAGACATTGTTACCCAATAGATCAAGTAATGTTAAAAAGAGTAACGAATCACTGGTATTGTCTACTGTGTAGACTTAGGGGACTGAAAGCATAAAACAATGCCATTCGTCGAACGCTGAAGATATTGAAATAGAAGTATGTTTTATTCGACGAAACACGATATTTTTTGGAGTACAATTCTGCGTCTGACATAACGTATTATGTTGTTCTTACAGGAAATACAAAAGAAATATCGATTGATTATTGACAACATAACTCCGGAAAATATTGTGCCGATGGCAAAACATATGATTTCACTACCAATGAAAACAGAGGATGTTCGAACTTTTATTTCAGAAGGTGTATAAAAAACAATCGAATCAAATAATACACATGCTTTAATTGTGTGGATCATTTGTTATTTTTAAATTCTTTAGGCTTTGGACGAACCGGAATTGATCCCTCAATACGCACGTGTTTGTTCGCTAATGAAAGACACGGTAGTGCGTTCAGAAGACCAGAAATGCAGTACTTCCTTCAGAAAGCATTTGATTGAAACTTGTTAAAAAGCATTTGAGGCGATAACATTCAACCGTAAACGAACGGTAGCCAAAGACCACATTAAAATCGAATCTTGTAAAGATAATGTATGAACGACTCTTAGCTGCGCCGACCGATGATTTTTCAAACAATAAAATGTTCATCCTTGATGTACATATTTGATATTAATGCGATATGGTTGTAACGTAAAAGGAAACGTGGACACTACTCCAATCGAAATTTTACCAAAAATAATGGGATCACAGGAGTCGTTCGATCGCAATCTGCAGGTATACTTGCAACCGATAATTTGACAACGTGTTATGATCGGAAGAGATGCAATAATTATAGGTGTCAAAAATGTTTATCCCATAACTTTCAAATTCATATGCGAATTCTTTAAAATGAACATTTTGGTCCCTCCTATACTAGAAATGTGCGTTGCACAACTCGTACAGAGCTGAAAATATTCGTCAATCGAATGCATGTGTGTTATACTGGAGCACGCTGAGAACGCATTCGACATTGTAAGATTTACCGTTACTTCAATTTACTTTATTTCGGATATTTCAGCTATAAATATTATTTTGAATACAAAACATCTATTACACGACACACGCGTTTAAAATATAAATCACAAATTGTAGAGTGGTGTGATTGAGAAGTTTAGCGATTACTCGATATCGGACAAGCAGAAATTGTCCTCGAGGATACAGTCCGTCGTCTTGGATACGCTACGGCTGACTAATAACGATCTTATGTTACTCGAGAACCGTAATAATGTTTACAGATAAGAGCTTGTTGTCCACTAAAAGCAGGTCAAAAAAAAATTAGAACAAGTAATTGCGTTAATCAGATGGTTTAGTTAACCTGATTTTGTAGTACACAACTTATAATAAATGCTAACATTAGTGTTTGTATGATTACTGGCAGGTGTACAATCTGAAAAAAAACATTCAGAAAACTGACGAGTATAGTGTTTTGAATGATTTGAACAGTGCATTTTATAAGGAATTTTCACTGGGCGACAAAAAATGTTTTTCTCAAAATAGTCCAATGTATAATACCATAGTACGATTATAGTATTACACGTTTGTTTCGCATTATTTCGCCCAATCTTTTAAAATACTGTCGACAGAGTATAATCACTGGGCGACATTTGTGTCACCTAGTTAACTAGTTAAAAAATGCACTGGATATGAAAGTGACGCACTCTAAACGTAGTAGTATGCTCCTTAAAGAACTTGTAGCCCTACGCGACAATAAATGAATCTTGTAGTAAAATTAATTAACAGGAACCAATAGAATCGAGGGTTCTCATCGATTGTTCATCCTCAGACGCCTTTGGTTTCAGTGAAAAACAAATTTTATCATTAGTCACTATTATTCATATTTTTACTTTTCATTAAGAGCAGCGTAGAAATCATGTGTAATAAACACGTTTTTATCTATGAATAATTGGGGGATTGTTAATCTATTTTTAGTCATTCGTGGAATGTTTTAAATTTTTGAAGAGTGACCAAATTAGTTCAAAACACAGTAGATTATATGGTTTAAATTATTTATTTAATCAAATATAAATACAATATTCAGATTACTTAAATAAAAAATAAAAATTATAAACGAAATTGTAAGGTGAAGTAAGGTATTTTCATGATATAGGAAACGTGATATTATTTCTTGAATGCATAATGTAATTCCCTGTTACACAATTGACTTAATAATTACATTAATTCTTAAAAACACAGCCATTTTAAAGAAAAATTTAATAGGGAATTACATTATACATTCAACAAATAATATCATGAAATAGCTTATGCATGAAAATACCTTACTTCACCCTAATTAAAAATAGGTTTTAATCATCTTTTGAAAATTCAAAATATTTTCATTTGACTATAAAATAAAGATCAACGATAAAAATGATAGCAGAATAATGTATGCAATTCATTTTAGCAGTATCGATTTAATGTTTATCTATACCAATGTTATGAAATTCACAAAAATAATATTCCTGGGAGCATATTTTTTTTGTAAAATGTCTAATTACAATGAAGTCACATAGATTTCAGATTTAGATTTTTGAAATGTTCGTGATTTCTTTACAGTTTGTAGTCTATAAACGAGATATGCCATGATTCATGTTTATCGAGCGAATTTATAGCACCTTTGTTAATAATCCATATCGAACTCAAATGCCACAAATAACTTTCCATGTAGTGTTCTTTGGTTCTTGCATATTAGAAACAAAAAAAAAGAACATAAACCGACATATCTTATATAAAGTTGTAAATTATATAATAATATATGACAAAATAAAGTATAATTAAAAAAAAAATTTTAATGGATCTTTAGTTTTCAAATAATGTAAACGCGTGTTGTGTATCTTTCGCATCGTTTTTCAGCATTACGGTCACACGAAAAGTAGTAAGAAGTTAGGCATAGGGTTGCACGAGATTTTTAAGTCTCTTATAATTAAAACGCTCAACTATTTTAATATCCCACGTCATTTTTGTTTTTAAATCAAGATAATAAATAATTATAATAATAATATATCTCAAATACATATCTTTTTCACGTGTTAGATCAAGGGCTTAATTTGGTTTAAAATAAAATTCTTTATGCTGAGTTTGAACTAAAAATCAATAATTTATAAATTAAATGAATGATTTTTAACGCATATGTACGCGCATATTTGAGTACTTTTTAGTGCATAAAATTCCAAGCCTTGATCATAACGCTAATTGTCAGAGAATTTGCTTTTCATAAATATGTGCCAGTGTGTAAATCATGACCAAAAGTTTCATTGCGTTTCTGGTAGTTATTGGTCAAGAGGGGCTGTTGTTACCAGTTGTGCATAAATACATTAAACATTGTATTTTAAGTTCAAGAAACACTATTGAATATTTTTGTAAATGGATAACGAGACTTCATCCTTTATTGAAAATAAGTAAAACATATCATATAAAAGAGATCACTTTTATTTTACAAATTACTTGAAACATTCATATATTACAATTAACATTACAATTACGACAAATACGACTTTTTATTGAATATTTTTAAGACACTTTTCGATAGATATGATAACACGAGATCATAAATTTACTCTTATGTTTCCAAATCAAAATACATATTTTAAAGAAAATTGACTGATAGGAAACAGCAGAGCTATGCTTACCCCTTTAGCAACCGTAATAAATTTAATTCAAGGATACTAAAAGAAGATTACATTTTTAATACAATTTTCCAAATATTCAGTCAAATCAATCGTTAAAGGAAAATTAATATTAATAATAATTAACATATAATCAATAAATATTAAAAAATAAATTATGTAACTTAATTTAAAATAAGTTATAATTAGTATAAGATTATCCATGTATATAAATAAATTAAAACGAATACAATAAAATCCCAATAACAGATACCTTAATGGCATAATCAGTTACCTATCTAATATTGAAAAGAAATTCATAAGCAAATAATTTATCTTTTGAATTACTAATTGGTAACAATAACTGTATGGCTAATAAATGTATATCATTATAAAAGTTAATTTTAAAGATTTATTAAAACTTGAACGTTAATTATGAGTAAACTTACTTTTTTTTAAATAAATAAAAGTACATATTAAATATTTGATGGAGGTTGAGTATGAATTGAACATTGACCACTTATATGATTACTTTCCAGTTCTTATTTCTTTACAATTATTTTTTGCTAGTTACCGGAAGTCCATGCAAATAAAAGTTTTCTTAAGAGTTTCTTTTAGGTAAAATGGACTCTCCCTCTTTTTTTTGTAATATTTATTTTAAAATTCCATTTTTTTTTTTTTTTTTTTTTAATTATCCATTCCTTGTTCCAGCTACTTATGAGCATCTAGCAAGGATGATATGGAACTATCTTTCTAATCTAATCTAATCTAATCTAATCTAATCTTTTATTCTAATACTTTTACCTTTAATAATTTCGATTATTATGAGAGTCTTAACTATATATATTTCAAAATTATGTTTATATATGAATACATTATTTATTAACCATTATGTACTTTTAATAAATTAAAAATTAAATAAAATGAGAAACGTATACTCCTTTAGTTGCACCACTGTATCAAATAGGTAGTCTTAATTATAACTATAAATACTGTATTTTTTCTAAATTATAAAAATTAATAACATATATAATATTATTCAATGTAAAAAAATATTTTATAGAGAAAAATTTCCTCCTTTTTACATCATCAAAATAATTATTAAATATAATCTACCAAATAAATATACATCAGGAAAGTTTATATTTTAAAACAATATATGTAAATATTTTTAGGAATAATAGTATAACTGTTATATACCCAATACTGGTCCAAAATATATTATCACTCATATTGACATCTTTCAGGACTAATTCTGGTGAGCCATTATGACAATAAATCTATTTTAAAAACAAATAATTATAATTATTAAAAACATTAATATATTTTGCTGACGTTAAAGTTTTTTTTACTAAAAATTAAAAATAAACAAGTCCAAAATAAACAAAATGAAAATAATTGAATTTATATTATATTAATTATTATTTTTAACTTTAAGATTCATAGAAGTTATATAAACCTACAATTTTTCAATGTTCTAATTAATTGTACACAAAATTAATTAAACTATATTCATGATGAATTAACTTACTTCTGCACAAGGCAAAGAAGATCTTTTGAAACCATATATGCCATGTAAAATACCTTGCATAGAATGTTTCAACACAGATATATCATAAATCCAACTGTATATTTTTGGTGTATCATTAATGCGTAGCATAATACCAGCAAATATGGTCATTGGTAATATGATGGATGATATAACAATGGTATTTATCTACAGTCAAAAATATTTTTAAAAACAATTAATACATTTTATTAGATACACATAATACTAAACTTACAAGAAAATTCTTAAATAAAATTGCAACCAACATGCCAGTTGCTTGAGACATTAAACCAGTTACGATCAACATTAAAAAAACCATTAAAAATCTGAATAGTTCAAATGGTTGTCCAGTCATTAAGTAAATCACTATATAAAATATACCTGTTGATATAATCTGAAAAATATTGAACATATATTGCATTATATTATAAAATGAAAAAAAAATATTAAATTCAAAATATGTAAATCTTAATAAATCTATACAAATTTCAGTTATTACATAAAATATTGTGTTAAAAAAAAAAATATATAATTTAATGAGAATTTACATTCTGCAACTGCATTCATTTGTAAACATTTAAATTTAAATGTAAAATAAACAAAAATTATTGACATTACAATACAATACATAATGCTACTGTCGACCAATAACACAGCTGTGCAACTACCATTGTGTTGAATAAAAAGTTATAGCAGAAATCATAGGAATTCAAAATACTTTCACGTAGCAAACAAAGGCAACAAGCTTTTAAATACTTGTAATTTTAAAACATATTTAAAATTTCACTATACATTAGAATATTGTGCCATTTACAAGAATAATTAATTTCCTCCATTATTTGATAATAGTATTCAAATAGTTTTAACACATTATATGTTAATCAAAAATTAGTAGTATAATGCTTTTAAATTTAATTTAAAAAATGTATTTATTTATTTTAGGTTTCTTTCATGTTATTTATTATATTTTATATTTAGTTTATTTAAATTATAATATAAAATATGTATTCTTTGAAACTAATTTTAAAAACAATAGAATATTTTAATTAGTTAATAGCAGAATAAAGTGATTGGACTAATGTATACCATCGCTAGTTTCAATACGGTAAAGGCAGGCATTTCCCCTGTGCATAAGATAACAGAAAACTACAGTACATAAACTTTATAAAATATTAAAAATAACAAATTATATAACTAATATTACACAATTTGCATATTTATTATGAAGTAGTACTTCAATGATAATTATTAACGCTAAACTAATACGTAGCTAACCTGTAAAGGTAAATCCGTTAAAGTCACACAAGTGTAATATGAATGAAGTGAATACCATTGGTTAAAATATTCTAATCGCATAAGTAACAATTCCATTGGAACTAAAATATATAAAAAAAATTTTAATAATCTACATAGTAAAGAATACAAATTAAATTATCACTTACATTTTATAGACATAGAATATGCAGATAAATATACAATGGTCATCATACTGAAATATAACATTATTACATTATCTCGTGTATATGAACCACTTTTACCAATATTAAAATATACTGAACCAAATAAAAAGCTCATAAAAAGTGGTACTAATACTCTTAATTTGATAAAGTCCTAAAAAATAATATAAAAAAATAAATGAATCAAATTTAAAATATAATACAAGCTTTAACCAATTTATAAATTTACAGAATTAAAAAATTTGTGAATGTAACAATTATACACTAAATACAGATTGTTATCGTAATATATGCAATTAACAACTATTTATTAATATAAAAATTAAGTTATTCACTTATTCTATAGCTTTTTAACTAGAATACTTCTTCTGTAAATACAAACACTGTCTCTAGATGAAATTATTAATGTCCTTCTAATAAGTATTCGTAGTTCATTCCGGAACTTTGACAAATGTTTAGGAGAAGAATGATTAGAATGATGGTTTAGCATTTGAACACCTTTTATACAGTAAAAATAAATTACTATGGATCATCAGGAATTCACAACTATTTTAACTCTATATTTACTGTCTTCAATATATTTATCTTTACTCCAGTCATTTGATTTTCCATTATCAATATACTTCACAAGTTCTTCATTGTGGTCACCATATTCACCAGAACTCACTTCAATGACTTTAAGTTAAAAAATAATATAAAAATTGCAAATTGATATAAATTGTATAGATGTATTAAAACATACCATAATCTGCAGGATTGTGGTGCAAGGGACACTGGAGACCAATAGAAGACAAATAACTTATAAGGTTAGAGGACTTTCCTCGATAAATGCATTGTCCAGAAGGTGATAATATGTACAATGCATTAAACATTTCCAATTGAGAAGCAGATGCTTGATGAATAGTACATATAATTGTTTTACCGCTATTGGCCAAATCTCTTAACATAGATACTACATAATTTGCTGATACCACATCTAAACCTCTAATCAAATTAACATAAATCTTAATATTATAATATACTATAAATTATACTTAAATGTATTTTATTATTTATTTGCAAACATTTACGTTGTTGGCTCATCAAAAAACATCACTTTTGGATTACGTATCAATTCAATGGCAATAGATAGTCGTCTTCGTTCACCACCAGACAAATTTGCAGCAAGTGTATTTTGTTTATTACATAGTTTCAAATTCTCCAAAATTCTTTGAATCTAAAAATTAATTATAATTATAATATTAGATTAAATTATTTTAACTATAAAATATGTAAAAAATACTGTTAATGTTGATTTTAATATGATTGATAATTATTTTAACCCAAAATTTGACATAAGACTGATTTTTTTTAAAGATTTATACATATATTTTTTTTCTATTAAAACTAATATTATTTTATAACTTTTACAGTTTATAATACCAAAATATTACATACATCTATAAAAAATTTAATTTATAATTAGTATAATTTTAAATAAAAATGTAATGATATTAAGTTGCTACGCTAAAATATATCTTACTAAGATTTTATGGTAAATATTGAGATTTAAGGTACAATTTTTAAATTTAGAAGCAATTTCCATTGATTCTGCGACCGTCAGATTGGGTTGTAAATGATCGTCCTGCATTATGTAACTCAATTGTTTCATGAAAAGTTTTCGATTTCGCGATCGTCCATTAATGTTGATTTCTCCTCTGTAACCACACGTCCTGTGATCAATTTCCGATTAGAAATATAAACATATTGAACACCCACCCAGCAAAATAGTAATAATACATTACTTGTAACCGGAAAGAATGTTCAATAACGACGACTTGCCGGATCCAGAACAACCTATGATAGCGCACGCTTGTCTATTGGAAAACGAGCCACTGACGTTATTTAAAATTCGTTTTTTCTCTAAAAAAATAAAAAACTTGCATTTGTCAAAACTCCACGTAAATACTGGTCAAATAAATGCATTCCGCTTGTAAGTTCGCCGAAATCATTATTTCTAATTCGACGGCGAAAAGGTCGATCGATGAAACCATTTTGGATAGTTCAAATTAGCCGTTTTAAAACGGCTTCAAAAAATCAAACTCTAAATTCCGATACAAACAGGAAATGAATGAGTAAAGAAGTAAAGAAGTAACGAGTAAAGAATATTAATGGCTAATTCCACAACAGTTGAATGAAAATCAGGCAAGTACAATGTTTCAGTCCATGCGGCAGCAGTAGGATTTACAGTGACCGCAGGGGTAAGACGTTACCTGGATGGAATATGCTGCCCGGAGTCCACACGGTAACCGAGTACGACAAGTCGGCGAATTCGATGTCAACGCCGTCACACGATCCGACCAATTCGTATTGTTCGCCGTCCATGCCGGGGTCCGTTGTCGTGGACTATGCGCGGGCCGGGAGGATCGCGACCATCAAGGTGGAGGAGGAGATGGCGATATTCGTCCCGTCAAAACACGAACGCGAACGTTCGCGCGCGACCGACCGTCCGTCGTTTCCGTCTTCCTTGTTATTGTTCGCGTGTGCAGGGACAAGCACGTCGTGAAGGGCGCACAACGACCGCGGGACAACTGATACGGAGCAACGCGAGCGACGCACTGAAGCAGTGGCGGCGGGCGACGGACTCGACAACTGCTACTGCGTGCTGCGATGCGCCGCACAGTGGTAGCGGGGTGGGGTTACTATGTGTTCTGTAGATAACGATAATACACGAACCTCGGGGGGTTACTATATACCAAATGTTCCGAAACGCGATAGCAAACACGGTAAATATCGTGACCACGAAGCGGCGACGGCGGCGCGCGCTCCTCTTACGTTAGCTCCGAAAAACGTTCGCGTCGTAAGCGACGAATCGGATATTGTCTACACCGCGGTTCGCGGGTACCATAGAGTAATGGTAACTCAAGGTCGTGGGCGCACGAGAACGCGACAACGACGCGCCGTATGACGCGTACTGCGGTACGACAACAACGGACGAGTTACTTGTTTTCCAAACGTTTTAATTGATATAATACGTCGTTAAATATTAATTATGACGAGCGAACGGATTCTTGGGTGGAAAAAAAAAAAAACGTCTGCACATGGAACGTTCCAATAATTAAATTAAATCTTATTAACGGCTTCACAATCAAATGCAATCGTTTCCTGTTTTCGGAACGAAATTGAAGTTTTCCGTTGTTTTTCGTTGGGTAACAAGACATTTCGATTCGTTGGGAAATGTTGGTCCCGATTTGTAAAATTTTTTGTCCATTGCAATATCTAAAATGTTTATCAACATTTACCGATTCCATAAAAATAAATAATTTATCTTAAGATGCAAACACTTGTTTTTATTCTGAGAACATCACACAATTTAGATGCAAATGTAATTATTATTTTTATTTAAACAAAAGTATATTTAAAATCTATAAAAATATTATAAAGAAGTAATGTTTATCTGTAGAAAGTAATCTCTGAAACTACTGAACCGATTTTGACATTTTTTTTACCTCTAGAAAAGTACATTATTATTGAATTACATGAATTGATGAGTGAATATTAAAAAATATTTTTTTTTTAGTAATTCTATACAGAAGTCCGCGGCACCACATATCTATCTCAAAAATAACCTTTGTGTATAAAATATATAACATAGATAAATAGTAATGGCGTGCAGTGATGTTTTATATTATTAAGTGCTAAAATAAACCCGTGTAATATAAGTTTATTGTTCGAAAATAATCCAAAGCGATAAAATTGAACTTGCCAATAGATTGATCCACATAGTCCATAAATTAGAATATTTATTAGAAGAAATATATCCCGATTTTGAAAATGTATTGGAAAGAAATTATCACTGGCTTTTTTCCAGGGCAATTATGTCAAGCAGAAAAGAAACAGTGAATGAAATAAATAAACTGATTTATTACGACCTTATGTTTAAAGTCAACATTCCTATCATGCTGTTAAGAAATTTGAGCCTTCCCAAAATGTGTAATGACACAAGGCTACTGATAAAAGAGTCACAGGACCAAAAGCGCATCCAGCATCTATTTACGGTTGTAGAAATTTATAGGATAAATTATATAATATAGCTGATTACAAGGAACAACTGGAAAAAATTTTCGTGGGGGGTCTAACATTATTTAATACAATTTATAGTTAATAAACTATATTCACCGCTAAAATGTTTCTACTTTTGAAAATTTCGGGGGGGTCCGGACTCCTGGACCCCTCCAGTTACAGCCTTGTCTGATTATAAGTGTATGTAGGGAAGTTTTAAGGGGGTGGGCTTAAACTCGTCCAAAAAAATAATGTGACTATATTGTACTAAAACTGTAATTTTTTTTATTTATTATTTAGTTCTTCTAAATATACAAAATTACAATTTCAATTTGATCCTTTCAAAGATTTTTTAATCCTCTAGGAAAATTATTTATTTTTTTTTTGTACAAAATGGATCAAAATATTTTTCACAATCATAATAAAGACATGCAGTGTGAACATTTTATATAAATACGGGTAGAGTTCTTGTAACAAACCAGATATGAATACTCGACCAGTAAGTGTTCTACACGTATGAACTAGGACACTAATGTGTTACATGATAGTAATTCTCTGGAAATAATTCATTACGTAGAGTAGGATTCAAAATGTATACTGGTGATCATATATATTCCAAAAAGCTTACTCAAATTGCGCCTATACATGGAGTGGACATATTTTTTCCTTAAACTGATTACCATGAACATTTTGCCCTATTGGGTTTTTACCGAATTAATTATGTTTTCGCGTGACGCGTCTATTGTTATTAGCTATTTGGGTGTTTAGGGAACTCGGACGTAAAATTGACCATTTTTTCTCTGGATAACTACAGTACCTTTATTAAAAAAATTATAATAACGATTATTTTAAAAGTGGACATATACAGTAGAAATAATATGTGTTCGGAATCCACCCATCTCCATTGAATTCATTTTTTACCTACGTCGTTAATTTATTGCATTTCATTATTTCAACACACATAAAAAATTAACGTCGATAATGTTTATCAATTTTATTCATGATTATGAGACATCACAGAATAATAAAGAGTAAATCAATATTATTGATAAGAGATTCCAAATGTATAAATCACACTAAGGTTACCTATCTAGTGATTGAAATACATTATTGTAAATAAATAAAAATATTTTTTTTTGCTGTTTATAAACGATTATTTTTATTAAAAACAGACAGTTTACCATTTTTAAGTATAATAATTATCAATATACTTAAATTTCCATTCATACCATGGAAGCTATTTTAGAATCGTATCACTTTGATGGGTGTCTAAATAAAAATGTAAGCAATGTAATGAAAATCATTAATAAATACCTAATTCATTTAAAATAATTTGATACATGCCGGATGAAAATATACTTAAGAGATCTAAATAAGAACAATTTACAATTTTTTAAAGATTTAAAACGTATAAAACTTCCACTAAACTTGGAAACTTCAAATTTTCAATTATAAAAGTTTTTTTAGTATTTTTATTAATACTAAATACTAATATAAGATTTAAAACGTATAAAACTTCCACTAAACTTGGAAACTTCAAATTTTCAATTATAAAGGTTTTTTTAGTATTTTTATTTTTATTTTTATTAGAGGATGGTAAGTTGGGTCCCAAATGACCATTTCTAGGTAACTTTGATTCCGAAAAAAAGTTAGTAGGTAAATTGACTCGTTTTTTTTTTTTAAAATATCTAATAATTTTTATTAGAAGTCAAATTTTATAATTATGGTATATTTTTTATAATTTATTAATATATATATATATATATATATAAACACATATATATATATATGTGTGTGTGGTTTTTTGTAATATTACATTTTTGGTAAAAACTTAAATAATACTTATTTTACGAATTATACGGATCATAAGAATTACCATCAAAATAGGTGTTAAACTGATACACAATATTTGACAACTTATGTATGTACGTATATGCCCTTATATACGTATTTAATTAGACTTAATCAAAGTTATTATACGATACCTACTAAAAAGTTATTAGACCTCAACGGAATCAATAACTGATTAATACATAGTGTGAATTGTGATCCAAATTTGGTCTTGTTATCAATAATTAATGTATAATATATTAATATTATAATCATCTCAAGAAAAATACTACGATTAGAAAAACTATAAATCGAATCCGAAATGCGTCAATTGTGGGGCAAACAAACCGTCTAATCACCAGGATTATCCATCAAAATTAAAAACAATCATCTGAAGGTGTAGAAAGACAAACTACGGAACTAACTTTGTATGATGGATTTAAAAATAATCCAAATAAATGCAGCGAGAAGCCACATAATTAACGACATTGGTATCACACTCATTCAAGAGCCATACACAAGACACCACAAACTAGTAGGACTCGGTATCCCTCTATAGAGTATACGTAGAGTAATATGCCACAAAGAACAATATACAAAAGGAAGAGAGAACATCATCACTTGGACAGCAATCGTAGTTCTTAAACCAGATCTAGAAGTAGTAGTACTACAACAACACATGAAAAAAAACTTTGCATTCGCTAGTGTCGGAAAATGTATTCTTAATATTATTCCAACCCAGTGGAGTCGGGGATTACAATAGACCCACAGCAACTTCTGCTTATAGTAAAAGACAATCAAAATTAGATAGTAATAATCGCTACTACCGACCATTGGCGAGTTTTGCAGCAAAACTAATGGCAATGGAAGGTATTGATGACGGCAGCATGAAGTTACTTCAAGAACTGGCTTATCAACTGCGATGTGAAAAGAGAGGAAACTCACCAAATTATAATTCCTAGTGAATCAATATGGAGAGCGCATATCCAATTGCAAAATCAGCCTTAAGGGTTGAATACCAAAAAGAAGAAAAATATTATAATATTAATAATTCCTATTAATATGTAGTCTATTGATCAAATATGACGCAACACTCCAAGTATAATCATTATTATTATTATTAGATCTTGTAATGCGATGTACGAATACTAACCGTTACTAGGGCTCTTAATACACGTGAATTCACGGAATTCACGTGTCACGTGTAAAATTCAAAATAAAAACGTATATCCTAAACTTAATACTGTACTATTAATATTTTATTAAAACTTCAAGTGTATAACATAAAATTACTAATTTTACCATTGTAAAAATGGATATATATTTTGGATAAACATGTATTTCACGTGTACACGTGAATTCCGTGACACGTGTTTTAAGAGCTCTAACCGTTACCCTTGTACGATAGGTACATAATAGGTAACGAAAATGTATAGTAGTGTGTCGGTGTACACATTATCAGAAGAATAACTGACAAACGAATAAATGATGGCTATAACTTAAAAAACTTGCGACTTTAACTAAATATTATCAATAAACCTTGAGAAAATTGCTGTAGTCTATTGATCATGTAATTATTCGATCATATGTGTGTACGTTAATGGATTTGTATAGTGGACATGTAGTGGTTGTAGAGAGAAACAGCAATTCGTGATGATTGCATGTAATAGTTGTAATGAGAATAATTATATTATGAACATTGTTATACGCCTATTATCTCGAATCATGGTATCAACAGTCAACGTGATAATTAGAAAAAAATAAAAATTATAAACCAAGAAAAGTGAGATAATGCGTTCTGGCGTATGGCAAACGAATATTCTGCGAGATTTGTGTGTATATATGAATTATATACATGTATATTTTTTTAATTTTTAATTATATAAACAATTCATGTAAACGTGATGTTTTTAGTGTTTATTATAAGCAATAAAAATGATTC